AGAATATACTTTTGAAAGCTTGGTTGTTGTCGAGTTTTCAGAATTTATCTGTTTAAGACACACTTAGCAGGACAGAGATCTAAATAATAAGAATTTTTATTATTAAACCTTAGTAAACAAAACACAAATTTCTAATTCTATTCATTTTTCTGAAAAATATAAGTGCATGTTTAATCTTAATAGCCCATTCACTAAATGGGACACTAATAAAGTATCATTTACTGCAGACTAAATTAACAAAGTAGATAGAAAAACAACTTTGGATTAAAACTTGAATCTTTTCCCAGTTTTTTTTCTTCTTAAAAAATCATTCACCCTCTAAGCTAAATTTTAAGGCAAGGCTGCCATCTTGTGGTTGAGGCTGGTATTGCTGAGGCTCTGAGCCAGTGACTTCAGCTTGCAAAACTGAAGCCTTAAATCAGTTTAGCATTTTAAAAAGTCATATGCAACTGTCAGTAGGAGGACTTACAATTTAAAAAGAAATAACTCCAGAACCTAACTGTTGCATAGCAATTTCCTCCGATTGAAACACTCCATCCTGAAGGAAGACTCAGGAGACTCAAGAGTAAACCACTTTACAAGCCCTTCAGAGATGAAATTTAAGATTGATGAGACCCCTCCCCAAAGCTATGGAGACAGTAAACTATGGGGGGATGGGGCAATGGGGGCAGGGGATGCTTCAGGACAGAGGCACAGACAGCATCCTTACCCAGGTTTGGGTGGAGATTTCTGTGGTGCAGCTGCCTTCAGTCAACACCTGCTCCTGCAGAGGTACCCCTTTCTGATACCTCCCTTAGCAACTCTGATAAACTCCTTTGCTCGCCAAACTGGACATTTGGTATAATCGCTGCTTCAGCTGCTTGTTGGTTCCCTATCTGTAGTGAACAGACATTTATGTCCCCTCTCTCCAGGAGAGTGTCACACACCCAACACTCTTCCTGTTAGTTTTCTTAAGCAGAGTGTAAAGTCCTCAAGTAACTGGACTGGACATGGAGCTTGGAAACTGAGCTGTCTTACAATTACCATTCCTACCTTGTTTTAAACAGCTATGAAAATAACAAAATTTTAAAATTAAACGGAGAAAAACACTAAATAATTATGCTGCATTTACATTATGGCTATTTCCCACAGTCTCCAGTTTGTGCACTACTACCTGTCCCAAGACTTCAAAATATCTAAGAAACACAAAATCTTCCATAAATAAGCTCAAAAAAGAAGCTGTGTGAGATATATCATAACACACACACACACACACACACACTCTCTCTCTCTCTCTCTCTCTCTCTCTCTCTCTCTCTCTCTCTCTCTCTCTCTCTCTCTCAGCCTCCAACACTTAGGGCCTAAGCAGGAAAAAGAAAAACTGCCATGGAGCCTGGACTGGGACCCTGGAGGAAAACCCCTGTCCTCCTTGTCCCCTTGTCAAACCTGCTTGAAATCTATTAAGTCATGCTCACACACTGTCCGGAATGCATGGAAATTTCAAAACAATGCCACAGGGATAATGAAAGGGAAAAAACTCTCAGGGGAAAATGCTATATTCATTACTGATAAAGTTAATTTCACTTTTGCCATTCTGTTTACTCCAAAATTAATCAGTGATAATAGCAATGTTAGCTAAAACTTAAGATGCAATTTCAAGATGACAATGTCTTTCTGAAGGTCCAAGACATCTTGGAATGAGAATGTATGCTCAGAGTAGTCAGGTTAAGCATCATCTAACTACAGACCTACCACCATCTTTCTTACTTGATCACAAATCTACTAGCTCTCTATTCTCCTTCTAATCTGAAATTCCCAAATCAGGAACATAGTGGTATCTTAGTCTTGCTAATTGTAACAGCAATGACATAGACTTTGGCCATTTGGGAGATGAAATTTAGACTCCTCTCATCTACCCCTCAAGGGAATTACTTGTCCGCCTGAAGAGCTCCAGAATGCTGTGAGGAGCCTCTGCCTCGTGAGTAACTTCCAAAGGGGCAGAAGGACACAGAAAAGGCTTTTAAGAGACCACACAAGGAAGATGGAGGACATTCCTACAAAAATGTTGGTTACCACTCCTCCTCGTCTTCAAATGGCTTTCTCTCTGTGAAATGGGACTACCACAGGCAGGCTTGAAATTTGTTAGAATCAGTCAGGCCTTCTTTGATGGCTTCAGGCCATCTTTGATCCGATCCCAAACATTAGTCTGGATCAAGGAGGTTCAGGCATGAATCGACAAAAAATGAGTCCATTTGCTTACTTCTTTCACTGAATTCTCTTGAAGCTCTCAGTAACTAAGCAGAGATAATGAGCATTTATGCACTTTTAGATTCTGAGACAAACACAGCATCCTGAATGGCTCACAATATGTCAAAGTCACCATGTGCACTGTTTTACGTCCAATACTTCATGTGCAATATCACTCAACTCTATAACAGCATAAGGAAATAATATTTTAATGTCAGGAATATTAACCTCTAGAAAGATTAAATAACTTGCCAAAACCCACAAAATTTAATAATCTAGAGAGCCTCCACCCTCTGCTTGCGAGCCTTCATCCAGTAGCTGATGGAAGCAGAAACAGACACCCACAGCTAAACACTGAGCTGAACTCTGGAACCCAGTTGCAGAGAGGGAAGAGTAATGAGCAAAGGGGTCAAGACCAGGCTGGTGAAACCCACAGAAATAGCTGACCTGAACAAGGGAGAGCTCATGGTCTCCAGACTGCCTAGTCTTAATGTAACTTTATATGCCTTGTGTACCTGGGAGGTCTGCCCTTTCTAAAAGGAAACAGGGATAGTGGACCTGGGGGAAGACAGGATGTGCAGGGGAGCAGTTATAAGGAGAGAAGGGAGGGAAAACTGAGGTTGGGATGTAATATATGAGAGAAAATTTTAAAATGATCTAGCAATTTCTATTTCATTTGAAAGGGATTATTTTGTCTATTCATTCTATATATAAATTAGCATCATATTTAAGTACAATTTACATGATAAAAGCAAAGTAAAAGATGGGCAGATTAATAATTAAAATAGCATACTTACTAATATTGCCCTATAGCATATTTTCAGACTAAGATAAAGCTTATTTTAAAGTAAAACTGTAACATATACAAATTAATGGTAGGTGATTCTAAAGTCATATCTTCATTAACAATCAGAAACTATTAACAGGATGAAATGCTAGGTAGTAAATCTTTTTAATGAAAGTACAAATAAAGTATAGTGTGTTGCATCAATCTTTATCAAATACATATCCCTTGAATATTTACCCTAATTATAGCTGTATTCAAATATAGTGTGGGGTTCTAGTTAGTGTCCAACAAAATGAGCACAATCTGTGTATCAGCTTTTAAATTTTCTATTAAAACTGTTTTGAAAGCATTTTCATTCCTGCTGTGAGAGGAATTATATCTGGTCAGCAGCAGCTACTAAAGGGGAAAATATAATCAGTAAGAAAGAACAGAAAAAGAATGATCGAGCAATTTCTATTTCATATGAAAGGGGAACCTTTTATCTATCCATTCTATGTATGAATTGGAATCACATTTAAGCATGTTTTAGGTGATAACATGTATCACAGAAAATTCCAGGTTACAAAGTTTTGTTAATTGTTATCAACTGCCTCAAAGGAAACTTTTACAAAATACTGCTCATAGTTTTACAAGCAAAACTGTGCTGAGAAAGTGGCCTGGACAAAGAATGTCTCCATCTACTGGTGAGATCTAGGCAGTGCAGGCTCTCAGTCTTAAGACAAAGACAAGGGAAAAGCAGTATTACATACAGTAAACTCCATTTTTGTTTTGTTTTTGTTTTTTTGAGACAGGGTTTCTCTATCCTGGAACTTGCTCTGACCTCGAACTCAGATCTGCCTGCCTCCCAAGTGCTGGGATTAAAGGCAATATGCCACCACTACCAGGGCAGCTCTCATTTTCTCAATAAAGCTGGTATACAGATGGGCATGCACTCTTGTGTAATTACAGTAAAATTACAGTAATCAGCAGAGCTGGCCGCTTTTGCCGCCCAATCTGCAGTTTTAATTTGGGAGTTTCCTAAAGATGTTTCTGGGACAGCAAGGCCAACATCCCCTTAAAAGGGCCAAAATGCAATTACCAGGTTCCATCTTTATGCTATAGAACTAGAAACTCAGGTAGGGGCAAGGAAAGTTTGGGGACCAAGGAACACAGAAATCTGAGAACAACTATTTTTGTAACCAAAAGTGAAATGTAAACAAACTGGAGAGGACTCTGAAAATACATTAGAAAGCAGAAAACAACAACTGAAACTAACAATAAGCAAAAGCTCCCAGATAAACTAACAAAAAGGTGTGGCAATGACAAATCCACAAAGAACTATCTGGAGGGAAGTAATGACACCCTTTCCACTCCCTCTGAAGGAGTATCAAGACAATATTATGGACTCTAACAGCTAAGAAATTAGACAATCAAGAAATGACCAATAGCAATTTCAAATTCTTTACTAGATATGTATATATATATATATATATATATATATATATGTTCAAATTCAAAACCAAAACTAAACAGAAATGCACAGGAAATATCGTCCATACCTGATTATCTTTAAAGGATATTCCCGAATTTTCAAAAATAAGACCACTAAATAAATCCCTAATGTGAACAGCTCTATGTGAAACACACAATAACAACAGCAACAAGACATGCATCTTTGCCAAACTGCTAACAGCTTCATAATCTTATACTTTTCTATTCATAAACATACTGAGTAACTTAGTAACAGTTTATGAAGGAAATAAAACACAAACATGGACAAGGAGATTTGTCCCTCTCTTTAACAATGGGAAGAAGGTTACATGCCCACATTTCTAATTTCTGAATGAAGTGTTTAACATTTAAAATTCACCAGAATTTTACTTTTACTAATTTTCTGTATGCGAAATGACATTGTAACTCTGAGCAGCCAGCCTCTGTCTAGTAACAGTGCACATCCCAGCTGTTGATGGCAGTCAGGAGAGCTCGAGGATAAATAACCCTTCTTTACCTTTTCTACCTTTCCACCGTTGATGTCACTGGGAAGGAACTTCTTGCCAATCGTTCTCAAATCTGTCTAAAATAAATATTTTATTATTAAAATAGAATTATACAAAAAGTATCTCTGAATTCAGTCTTTTGAACAAAAATTAAGGAAACATCTTAAACTAATTATAAAATGTGTGCAGACAGTCACAATTTTCGAATCATTTAGCCAATCTTTTCATTGTTTTAACTGTACCACTAAAGCAAACAGTAAGAGACAGGGATGCCGTATTTCTTTGACACTCTTTTTGTCTTAGTCACTCTTCTCTATTAAAATCCCCAACAAATTACATCCATTATGATCTTACTGAAAATTAATGCCATAATACAAAACTCAAATGACAGCTTTGGACTACAATAAACACAGTATATGCTTTAACAACTAAATCCTATAAAATCTCAATATCCAAAGACATGAGAACCAATTACTCCAGCAGCTCTGACATTCATTATACAGCAAAGCAAAGGAAACAACAGAGAGTCGTGTCATAGGGAGGGCAAAGTAGCAGCACCTTAGCAGAAGGAAAATGGTGAATTAACAGCTAACTATGAAAAGCAGAAATACGTGTAACTCAGCAAACTGTTGCATACAAAACGCAAACAGACCGGTCACTAAGGTTACAGCATCTCTGCTATTGGAAGACTATACAGTCCATATAAAAAGCAGGGCTTTTAAGAACTGTATCCTCTTCAGAAGTAAAAACCTAAGATAATCTGGAAGGTCTTTCTATAGAGTATAGATCTCAAGAGAAATAATAAACTGTTTTTAAACTTACTAAACACTAATAGTACTCAATAAATTAAGACTGCACTTAATTTTTTCTGAGTAATTCTTTCAAGTATTTGAACCTTAAACTATATGCAGGATTTTAATGCCATTCCTTAACATTCCTTCTTCCCTACTTTATAGATGAACAAAGTAAAACTTGTCTTTTTCAACACAAAGCTCAGAGCATAAAGGAAACATCTAAGAAGAAAAAAATAGAAGGTGGAGAGATGGCTCAGTGTTTAAGAGCATTGCTTGCTCTTGCAAAGGACCTGGGTTCAGTTACCAGCACCCTTCTGGCAACTAACAACTGTCTTAAGATCTGGCAACCTTGGCTAGAGAGATGGCTCAGAGGTTAAGAGCACTTGCTGCTCTTCCAGAGGTCCTGAGTTCCATTCCCAGCAACCACAACCATCTGTAATGAGATCTGGTGCCCTCTTTCTGATCTGCAGGAATATATGCAGGCAGAACACTATATACTAAATAAATACTTAAAAAAAAAAAAAAAGATCTCCCAACTCCCTAAAGCACCAGGCACAGTAATGGTGTACATTTATACAGGAGAGCAAAACACTCATACACATGAGATAAAATAAATAAACCATGCTTTTTAAATAAAGTAAGGCTACAGCCAAAGTTTCAATGCAAATTAAATGAAAAACTGTTTTAAAGAATTGTCAGTTTTTACTATTACAAAACTGATAAAAATATGGATTCTTAACTAATGAACTTTCTCTAGTTCAACTATTAGCTAGTTGTGAATATTACAAATATTAGGTCATTAAATAGCTAATATTAGGTCATTAAATTCAACAAACGTCTCTATAACTTAAAAGGTGAAAAATTAAAATTTCCTCTTTTGTTTCTCATAAAATACAGTTTATGATGTATTTTTCATTGGAATAGCTTTACACTTTATTAACTTTTCTAATAAAAGTTAATAAACTTAACCTACATTGAGAGCAATCAGGATGATGTCATTTATATTGAATTTGCCGGAAGAGCTTGTACAAGCTTCAATGCCTTCATCTGAAAGATACCTGTTGAAATAAAATAAACAGCTTAATATTACCTAAACCAGTATTAAATAAAATTTTACAATATGCAGTTTTGTTTTCTATTAAATAGTAGGAAAGACTGAACATTTCAGTCTATATACTATTCTGATAAGATATATATGCAATATGTATCTTTAACAATATACAGCTATGTATGAGTGTGTATCTTTTTCTGTACCCTTAATGAGATATTGTGTGAATAAAATTAGCCATATGCTTTCTGAGTAAAGCTTCCTACATATCAGCCTGTCTACAAGCTACTCTTTGCAATCATATAAGCAGAATTTCTGATCTAATATCTGTCAATGTGGTAAGCTTGTAGAAGGGTTGAGGTTCACTGTAAAATTAAGACTAGAGTAACCACACTTTTACACTTAGTTGAACAAATCAATAACAAGAAAACCCCCTCCATCCCAGATATTTGTTCACATTATCTTCTCACATCCCTTCTTTAATATCATGTTCTCAAGAATCCTGCAGTAAGCACTACTGACTCCAAGGGACGCAGGGAAAGGTAACATTTATAGTACAGCCTTTGCCTTTTGTCTTTTTTTTTTTAATTGTTATCTTATCCTAATGTTCATTTTCTCAGTCCAACCCAATCTTACATCTGAACAAAACAATAATTAATTCAAGAGTGTAGAAACTGTGTTTCCAAATGAGGAAAAACTATCTCTATCCATTCAAAAAACCCATTTGCAATACAGTTTTTCTTTAAATATGTTTTATAAATTCTATGATTCAAATATAAACCAGCTTATAAAAATGCCCACCAGCATCTCAAATGTTTTATGAACAACATCAATTTATTTAACCAATGGACTAAAAACACCATCATTACTGTCCACATTCTCCTAGTACTAAGAGAATTGGTCTCACAGCTAATCCAACAGTTATCTTAAGCCCATTCTTGATGAGTCAGCAACTCTACTATTAATCTCCATTACTGCACTAATTTTAAGACACTTATCAATGTAATTTTTCCATTATTTGTGTATTTACTTGAGGTGTGTGCACATGTACTACAGTATAAATGTGGAAGTCCAAAGACAGCTCTGTCCAGTTATTTCTCCCCTTCCCCTTTTACATAGTTTCCAAGGACAAACTTAAATTCCTGGCAAGTGTCTTTACCTACTGAGCCATCTTGCAGGCCCAAAATGTGACTCTTATCTGAACACAGCAAAACAACAATGAGTGAACAAGCCTGACATGGTGACGCATGCTTATAATCTCAACACTGAGGCAGAGGAAGGGTTTACTTGGGTTCAGTAGGCATGCAGGCTACCCGGGCAGGGAAGACAGGAAGCACCAAGGTTACCAAGTCAGCCCAGGCTATGAAACCTGGAGGCTCATCCCTACTACTCATGTCCTCCAGCAAGGATCCCACTCCCAGAGGTTTTACAGCCTCCCAACAGCTCCACCAGTTGGGGCTCAAGTGTTCAAACACAATAAGGAACATTTCACACTCAAAGTACTGCACCATCACTAATGAAGTGACAGGGGTTGCCTTCACATAAATATGAGTGAGAAATCATACTTTTCCAACACTGCCTAGTAATAGTTTCTGTGTACAGCAAATTACAAAGTATGTCTGAGTCTCAGTATCTGAGCTTAAGAGGTCTCCCTGATCCCTTTCTAAAGCTTATTCCAGCTTTATTCCAAAACTGTCAGTCAACAGAGCATCCACGCATAGCTCTCACATGCTAGGAACCCTTCTATAAATACCTGGGTGGTTTACAAAAGGACTGACCTAACTTAATCACCATATCATGTTCATACTTTACTCTCTTTTGCAAACACTGAAAATGTTACTATTAACAATGAACAAAGCAAGTGATAAAAGTAAAGAGTAACGAAATCGACTGTAAGATACCACAGAACTCAGTAACCAGGAACAACAGTATCCAACCAGCCAGACTGTCACCAGAATAAGAAACTGAAAATTGGAGCAGGTCCACGGGATAAGCTCCCTGTACACACCTGCTCAAGGGGCTACCAGGGAGAGGAATTACAGTCAATTCCTTGTGTCACCTTTGAGTCCAGTCTCAGAGAGCTGTGGGAACAACAACAGGCAACAATGCACTCATCTGTGCCTTCCTTCTCCATGAGAGACTTCTGAAACAGTAATATTACAAGCCCCTCACTACTATACTACAAAAATACATCTGAATACATTTTGCTGACAGGCAAGGCCCTGAAGGGCTACATTTCTGCATAAAAGCTGATTAATAATATTTCCTTTCTAGTTTTATCTTCAAATAATGCCACTTTAAAACACAAGCTTAATCAGCTCACAAAATTTTCAAGGAAGAAAGGAAGGAAGGAAGGAAGGAAGGAAGGAGGAAGGGAGAGAGAGAGAGTCTTCCTTGGATTAGTCTTCCCTAGGGAAAAGCACACCAGTTGTTGATCCAATACCAAATGGTCAGTTCTGAAAACACACATCAAGTAACATTATATATACTAAGCAGTTTGTATTTATGTATTTAGAAACATATGTGCATATACATAAATGTATGTGACAACAATTAATGAAATAGAGACCATTAATTTGCAAGAGAGCAAGGAGTGGTATATGGGAGGGATTAGAGCAATGATGACATATCAGATATCCTATATCAGATACTTAAATTACAGTAACAGCATCATTTATAACAGTAGCAAAATTAGTAACAAAACAGAAACAAAAATAAAGACGTGCACTAAAGGGTCACAGCATTGGGAAGATTGAGAACCACTGCTCTAGAGGAAGGAAAGGGAAAGGGAAATGATGTAATTATATTTCAATCTCAAAAAAAAAATAAAAGAAATTGTTTTTTAAATGCTTCCCAGAGTTAGCAAAAACACTCAGTAATAAAGCACACTTGCCACCAAGCCTGTCAACTCTAGTTTCACCCCTGGAACCCATATGGTAAGAGAGAACCAACTCCCAGAAGTTATGCTCTGACCTCCATGCAGGAGCATGGTATGAGTGCCCACAAAATTACACATGGATGGATGGATGGATGGATGGATGGATGGATGGATGGATGGATAGATAGATAGACAGACAGACAGACAGACAGACAGATAGATGATATATAGATATAGATGATATGTAAATGGTAGCTTATAAAATTCCCTTTTTTCATATAAAAAGGATGATAAAATTCTTCGTGTAACTTAACTGGCCATCCCAACCAATTTATTTAACTTCAAAAATAAGCACTTAAAATTAGGTGGAGAAAGAGGGAGCCAAAATAGGTTTAAAGAGAAATTAGGCTCAAGGGAAATGTCCAGATATCTACAAGAATGATACCATCTAACCATCTAAGCAACAGAGGAGAGGCTACCTTAAATGCTCTCCCCTGATAACGAGATTGACGACTAACTTATATCCCATCCTAGAGCCTTCATCCAGCAGCTGGTGGAAGTAGAAGAAGTCACCCACAGCTAACACTGAACTGATCTGGAATCCAGTTGCAGAGGAGGAGGAGTGAAGAGCAAAGGGGTCAAGATCAGACTGGTGGAACCCACAGAAACAGCTGACCTGAACAAGGGGGAGCTCTTGGCCCCCAGACTGATAGCGAGGAAACTAGCATGGAACTGATCCAGACCCCATAAATGTGGGTGTCAGTGAGAAGACCTCGAAGTCACCCACAGCTAACACTGAACTGATCTGGAATCCAGTTGCAGAGGAGGAGGAGTGAAGAGCAAAGGGGTCAAGATCAGACTGGTGGAACCCACAGAAACAGCTGACCTGAACAAGGGGGAGCTCTTGGCCCCCAGACTGATAGCGAGGAAACTAGCATGGAACTGATCCAGACCCCATAAATGTGGGTGTCAGTGAGAAGACCTCGGAAATCTATGGAGCCTCTTGTAGTAGATCAGTACTTATCCATAGTGTAGGAATGGACTTTGGAATCCCATTTCACATAGAGGGATATTCGCTCAGCCTAGACACACGGGAGAGAGCCAAGGCCTATCCCAAAGTATATGACAGACTCTGAAGAACCCCCATGGAAAGCCTCACTCTCCCTGGAGAGCAGAAAGGGTATTGGATATGTGGGGTGTTAGTGGGGGGTTAGGGAGGAGGGGAGGGAGAGGGAACGAGGATTGACATGTAAAACAATCTTGTTTCTAATTTAAATAAAATTTTTAAAAAATTGGGTGGAGAATTATACAGTCACATAGCCTAAGGGCCACAGCCATAAGAGCCTTCACCTCATGCTCAGAAACAGACATATCCAAATGAGTTCAAAACTTTCAAAACTCCGAATAGGCAGAAAACTGGGATAAAAGACAGGCTATCGTTTCAACATCATTTGTTAGATCCAGATAGCGGGTCTCCATTAATACCCTGCATCACCAGTATGACCAAAATAAAGCCAACTGCCCTGATCTAGGCTCTGAAAGCCGGGAAAATCCATGTCTACTGGCTGGCAGACCAAGCAGGAAAAGGCCAAGGCTCACCGTGGAAGGCTGCCCTGCTACAAAAGGCAGCCATAACTCAGCTTCAGCTGACTGTTTGCATGATGAGGACAAGGGAGACAGCTATTGTCGGATCTGATTTTTAGCCTTCGAGTTTTTGTAAAGCAATATACAAGCCAAACAAAACAGACTGCAGCTAGCATGAGGACTATCCACTCACTCTGAGCTTATTTAAGTTAGCCATGTATCTGCTCCTGTACCTGTCACCTCCAAGCTGTTTTGAGATGCAGTGTGACACTGTGAGTAATGTCTCAAACACTTAACAGTCACAGCTAGCCTTTTCAGGGAAAGGTAGAATAAGGTATCTTGATGCCATTTTGTACAGTATGGGAGAGCAAAGAACACAATTACATCTTCAACGAATGTTCCTACCAGAGTGACTGTCAGGCTGAAGGTGTTTGGTCAAAACAGTTCACAAATTCAATAGACAGACAGATACATAGTTGGGGAAGAGATTTCAGACAGCCAGGCAACCTCTAATGGTCCAGAAACTGGACCTAAAAAGAAAAACTAGT